TCTTAAAAGGAGATTAGAAACAGAACAATCCACACATCATTTGCTGCATCAATAAAGTTTTCCTTAAATGCCCCACAACTTAAATCATTGTCTCCTAGGCTTGTACCATTAGGAATGGCTTTTATTAGTCAACTTATCTAGAACTGTCATTATCTTATCTACTTCCAACAAATGTCCCATCAATCTCATTTATCCCCAAGGAGAACTCCAGCTTCTGCAACCTAAACTTGTAACCAAAAATTCCTAAACCGAGGAGCTATTTTGATAAAGCTGGACTGCACCCTTCCTGAAAAACTGCAACAAACAGAACTAAGCTCAGTACTCTAACCGTGGCCCAACCACGATTTCATAATTGTTCAGTGCAACCTGTTTGCTTTAGTATTCAATATTTCTATTTAAGCACAAGATTGAGTAGGCTTTGTTCATGATGCTCAGAGGGGGAATGTAGGATTATCAAATCTGGAAGATGGTTAAGAATATTATTTAAGTAGTTTGATAATTAGACAATTTTGCAGGACAGATATTTAGGGATTCGTGTAGAAAAATTGTTGGAAAACTTTTGGTACAACAACAAAAATAAGCTGAAACATTGTGTCACTGACTGGAGTACTGTGTTCAGGTCGGGGTACTGTACCTCAAGAACAATACATCCATACTAGTGGCTGCAATCCAGCTTCGCTATAATAACATTTGTGCTATAGAAGAATTAAATTGAGAGGATGGATTCAATAGACTGGAAATGTTATTGGAACTGGGACAGCTACAGCACAACATCCACCACTTGCATTCCAAACAGTGACAAAGACCAATATTCCAATAGCTTTTTTCTGCATTCTTCATTCTTGTACCTATAGTTTAAGAAATTTCATTACAGGGAACCCAAAATCTCTACCTTGCCAAAATTCTAAACTTTAAACCATTTTGAAAATGCTATGGTCCATCCTCCTTGGCTCCAGATTTGATAATTTCACAAAATCCCTACAGGATGGAAAAAGAGGCCATTCGGCCCAGACTCTCCAAAGACTATCACACCCAGACCCATGCTCCACCCCACCCCTCCACCACATCCCCATATTTACCATTACTAACCCACCTAACCTGCACATCCCTGGACACTATGGGGCAATTTACCAAAGCCAATCCACCTAATCTACACGTGTATGGATCTCTCACTAAACACCATGGACTAGTTTCTTGACCCATCAGTGTCCAAGAAACCCTGTGCTTCCATTCGCCACACATGCTGTGCAGCTCGTTAAAAAGATTAAAGTACTCTATGCACCCAAATGAACTACTTCTACAATAACGATCTTACGGTCTTCTATAAATACTTACAGTAGGGATGAGTGTTTTCCATTTGACCCCTGCTTCCCTCCAGGTATTCTCGTCCTGAAAATTACAATACAAAGATATAGGTTTGTAAAATATTCAAGATATCTTTCAATTACTTAAAACCTTCGCAGGTTAAGAATACAGAATAAATATATGCTGGAAATCAAACTGTTAAAAAAGCAGTGTCACAAGGAGTCTATGGTTAATATTCTGCTCAGGATTATCAACGTTTTAAAACAGGTCAGGGAACCTCAAATGTAGACAGAAACACAACTGTTCTACAAAAGGATTGGGGAAGATGAGGTGGAACGGGCACCAAGCCGAGAACCAACAAGCGGTGAGCAAAATGAAATTAAGGTTTTAAGAAAACTTTGGGAAGATTTTGCGGGGAAGCGGGGCGGGGGGGGTTAGTTTTACTGGGCTGCCTCAAAAGCCCGAATCCTTCACTTTCAAGGTTACCAGAAGCAGGAACAATGATACAGACACGAAGTGTCCATGTGCAGTTGGAAGAAGTTTGTTAAAAAGACTTGTCAAACTGGATACTTCCCGATAAAACACTCACAAAATCCCAAGCAGGCACTGTGGCAGCTTTGCTTTCCTTTTAAAGGAAATTGTAGGGACCGGCTGGGGATTAAAGACAGGGAGGTGACTGGAAACTAACTCGGGGGAAAAGAAATGACGGGAAGTTAAAGAGCTGACATGTAAAAGTGTTGGAGGGGGAAGCACGGAGTTTTCTGACCGCCCCAAGGCCCGGGCTCCTGGGGATATCCCCACCCACCTCCTACCGCAGCCCTGTACTGTGCTCCTCGCCGCTTAGGGGCCAAATGGACGGATCTCCAAAAGGCCTAACTATACACATCCGACACCCACCCACCCCAGCACGTCCACCTCACCTTTCACAAAGGGATGGGCAGGGGCCTCGAGCTCCCG